CCCCAAAACCCCGTTAAGTAGGACTAAGTCACAGATAGATAAAGTAAAATGAATTAAAGATAATGATAAAATATTAATAATAAAATGTTGAATAATACAAAGAAATACAAGCCAAATGAGGAGAAATATGGGTGGTATGATAAGTATAACTTCTATGATGTCTATCATAAACATGATTCATTACATATAAAAGTAAATAATTTAAGCCTAAAAAGCGGCTTTAGGATATTGATGGTGCAGTACCTAACCCAAGAATGGGAATTTAAAGTTAATATGACTATATAAATGTAAGAGATATTGATGGTGCCTCTCCAAAAAAGATTGTAGGAGTAAGTATCAAATTCTTAGACTCATATTAACTGCTTGATAGTATACTGGAACACACCCAGAAATGAGAAGGTAGAATTACGATGAATATCGCTAGACTCTATCGAATAGCCGCTTGAAGACAATTCATAATGCTAATGATCCAAACTTCGTTTCAACTTATAATACCTCGCATAACTTGGTCTATCAACAGCCGGGCTCGAGCCCACAACAGATTTAGAGTGTAAAAACTTTTTTAATTTCTAATAACACTTTTTCATAGATGAAGCAATCTCAATAAGCAAGCAAAAACATTTATAACAGCAATAATAATGATAGACCTGAGATTCTTGAGATTAGGAATAAAGAAGATGACTTGAATGATAGATCATGTAAATTAGTTAACTCATTATATCAATTTATCTTAGTGAGAATGAGCGGAAGATCTATGAGTTATTAAGCTTTACCTAACCACACAGCTCCAAACACTTCCAGATATGGTGGGGCTAATTAGTAGCTCCCTGGTTCGAATAATAAATTCTATGGACTACCCTCTAGAGATGTGAATTCTCATGCAGTCAAATTCTTAAATGATAAGCCAACTTCCTAGAGAGCTGCTTAATTCGCTGAGCCATAATACAACCCGGAAGGAAGAATGAGGATGGATCCTAACTTTTTAGCCACTCAGATGCAAAATTAATTATAGGAGTAATAGCCAGCTTCAAAGAGAAAACAAGTGACCTTCCCTAATGAGGGAAGTGGCAGTCCTATAAGGAATGCATATAATGGCAATAGTAACTAAAACCCTCAAATATCTTAGAGTTAAGCTTTTTCTCCTTAAAAAAGTGAAATATTAACTAAAAGCGGATCTATGTCTCTAATCTCATCTTTTACTCCTTCTCCTAATGGACTCGTGCCAAATAGAAAGACAATATACGACACTTATAGAATAGACAGTGAGTATCGAGAAAATTTCAATGACCCTCAGAACATATATTAACATTAACATTATGGAAAGCCAAACTATCACGTATACAAACCCTATGATCAAAAGCAGGGAATGACTAGAGGTTTAGATTTTACTCCCTCTACAGATGAAGGCTAGAAGTATCTTGATTATAAAGTAAGAATGACAAATGATAAGGAGTCGACTAATGTCGGATATGCCCCTGCCTACTAATCGATAGCTCATCTCAACAACCCGTAAGCTCACAGAACAAGCCAAAAAGAAGCTCCTAAATTCGACGTGCTATCCAGCAGCTATAAAGTGTAATGAGATATATCCTATATAAAGTTATGATAATAAACTTGAAAATAATGGTACTTATACTGTTTAAAATTATTTGTTTTAATCTGGATTCTAAGTCAATCTATTTATTTATATAATCTTCATTAGGGGTTTTGGGGTTTTGGGGTTTTGGGG